TTACCTTTGTGGGGGGGGGGGGGGTTTTTTTTTTTTTTTTTTTATAATTTTTCCCCTGGCTTTATAAAAATAAAAAGGAACTGTTTCTTTCCAAAAAATTTTTTTCACTTTGGGGGGGGGGGGGGGGTTCTTTCTTTTTCTTTTATCATTGTTAAGGAACTGGAAGTTGATGAGAGGGATTTAAAGTTCTTGAGCAAACAATCCCATAGAAGTACAATTCCATTCGAATTCTCTGCCAAGCAATACTGTTGTTTTTGTAATAACAGGAAATTCACTTTTTCTCTTAGAAATTTAGTCTAGGTATTATGGCCATTGGTCGAGGGTGCAGTATGCTATGAGCATCACCCTGACCGTGGATCCAGTAGCCAGAGATGCTGCGGGGCAAAGGATATTAGTTCCTTTAATTAGCATCCTTCAGCAAAATCTTTCAGGAGACTTTACAAAAGCCTAAGTCACTCTTCCTGTGTTTTAATTCTAATGTAGAGCCCCATTCCTGAAAAAGAAGATAAAAAGACTTTGCAGAAAGCTAAAGATGAAAAGTCTGTACTTTTAAATCTTCCACAGGTATGAAGCAATTCCCATTTTAGCAGGTCCTGAAACATTGTACATTGTATTTCCATTAGATATGTTGCATCAAAAGCATAAGTTGATGGTGCACTTGACCGATTCAGTAATCTGGAATTTTAAAAAAATTATTTTCATTTGGCCTTAAAGCCAGACTTGTGAGTTGCTGATGAGATTGTAAGAAATTATTCTTTTTCATCTTTGGGTACAGAAAAATAACTTTCAGTGATTTTCTTCAGACTGTGCTTTCCTTCTCGACTGTGGGCTAGTAGCAATAGATTAAAACCTTTACTTAATTCTAAAGATAATCAACTTCAGCCTAGGAAGCTAAAAGGGAACAGGCCTGGCTATTTTTGGATGGGAGACTGTCAGTAATTCCAGGACTGTGAATCAGACAGGAAAGTCTAGAAACAACCTGGAAGAAGGCAAGAGGAAACCACTTGATACTGTTATCAAGAAGACTGTTTCATAATGTCACTAGAAGTTTAACTCAGCTGGAAGGAACCTTTATCGTTCTGAAAGATAATGACCACAGTCTTCTCTGCTTCTTAGCACCATCAATATCCATGGTGACTCTGAGATTCTAAATGCTTTGGGTAAATCTCAACAGATTGACCAAGATAAGGCAAGGATGCGGTGGGGATGAAGTAACTCCCTCTTGTCTAGTTTGCTAGGAGATTGACCCAAAAAGGTTAAAGAGATCTGACAGTTTGTCCTTATTTATTACTAAATAACTCTCCCCAAGGAACTATTTTACCAGTAGTTCTGGTATGCGTGGTACCAATTCAACAGGGAAAGGAAAAGTTAGATATTGCAAATTGAACATTTTAGGGAATGGTTTTATAAAGAGTTACAAGACACTTCATGTTACACGTGATAGAATGAAAAGTAGAGCTCCAAAATAGATTTACCTATATGGGCTTATGGTACATGGCATTTTCGGCAAAGTATTCCTAATACTTAAAGTATAGGATTAGAAATTCCCATGCTTGTTTTGGCTTCTGCTAGGATTGGATACGTTTTAGCATTTCATTTCCTCCACCCTGATTTCAAATTCATTTTATAGAAGGTATGAAAATCTTATTTGTCAACTTGAGCATTCTGAAAAATAGCACGCCAAGTAACATTTTAAATTGCTACTTTGCGTAAACAAACACTTTTTCATTTATAAACCAACTCTAAATTCTAATTTACCAAAACCTTGGTTCCATCAATAAATCTATGTTAATTCCTGTAATCCTAATCTTGCTGAAGCCCGTACCAGAAACACATGCTGACAGCAGAATAAGCAAACCTGCAACTGAGATTCAACAAGAACACGAGGACCTCTCTCAGCTCTCCGAAGGTCAACTTGCTGACCAGAGTTCAGCTACTTCAGGAGATGAAACTGAAATTGAGGAAGTGGAAACAGAAGGTAGTGATCTAGTTATCCATCAAACCTTTCTCTCACTCCTTATCCTGTGTATGTTGTTGCCAGCAGAAGCAGTTTCAGCAAGAAATGTTCTTTGGATTGATCTCATTGCCATGGCCAAGCTGGAATATCAGGTGTTTTAAACTAAAATAATAACTTGCAGCTTTGTATTAATTAACAGGGGGGTGAGGAATCCCATCTCCAGTCTAGTTCCATAAAATGTTAACAGAAACTGGCTTCTGTTTTAAAATGTCTTTATATTCTCTCTGCATAGGAGAGATTTCTACTTCAGAAGAGCACTGTTCTAAAGAATATTTCAAGTTATGCATTTCTTTTGTCTGCTAACACCAAGCACTCTAATGTCAAAGAGAGAAAGGGAGAGGGTTCCTTGGTAATAAGAGGCTAATGGATAGTACATCACAACATCTCTAGATTAAATATATTAAAGGCAGCTTGGTGTAAGGAGTGTAAAATTCCTGGGTCACATATGCACTCCTCTTTTATTTTACTACAGCTGTCCAGAATGTGATCTGAGAGATTTTAATTCCCTTGATGGGAGCTGCCTTTGAAGATTTTTTGGAAACTACAGGTGATACAAAATTGGGCCAAGTTGTAGTGAACATTTGCACCAGCTGTTAACTACTTGTATATTTCAGGGCCCGGTTCAAAATCCTGTTAATTCTTAAATCTTTCGATTTCTTGTAACTGAGTTACCCTCAGGTCTACTTTCACCAGTACAGCCTTGTCTGTCCACTCATATCTGCTTCACAAGTCCTCCTGATATTCACACTGGTGATATTAGTTAAGACTTTTGGGCACAAGAGGAAGGGTCTTGCCCCCTACATTCCTAGAACTTCCTTCCAGCTTATTTATACTTAGCCCTTCAATACAGGCTTTTATCTTGAAATGTTAACTGATGTCTACAGCAGAACAACCCCACATCTATTGATTGTTTCCATTTGTACCTGATATTATTCTTCTTTCGTCTACTTTTTTGCATTGGCCTGGCCCTACACTATCTACAAGTATTTTACATAACCAGGTGTAAATTCTCTTTAGACACAGAATGTGAATTGGCCAGTGAAGGTGTAATGGCAGCAATTACTTTGATAAAGTCCTTTTATATCTTCTTCTGCCAGATATCAGGCTCAGAGAAATCAAATAAGCTATACTTGGATGAATTAGTCCAACTCTCTTGTATTCCCACATTACCAGAAATAGCTGTCTTGCTAACATCAACCCCAAAAGCTCTTCACTACCTTCAAATGTAAAAGAAATTATTACTCTTCAGGGAGGCATTTTTATAATGCAACGGCTGTGAAGGGGAAGAAAACCCACTATTGCCAACCATTTCCACTGCTTTGGCTGGTGGTTTTATGTAATAAATTATTTCAGTGTTCCTAGAGGAGGAGACACAGAATAGCAAACGTTCATTTGGATGATCATCCATTAAGCTATTTACGTCATTATAATTGCCTCTCCTTGGAGTGTCACCACCATTAATTCCTTTGGCAGTTAAGTCATCAATCATTATTACGACTGCAAATCAGACCCAAAGCTACAATAGAAGCAATTCCCAGCAGACGGTGCATGTATGTGAAAACAAGCTCTGGCAAGCTAGGGAAGAATCCTTTTTACCAAGACAGTGCCAAAGTCACCATGGGAAAGCCAGCCGTATGCGATTACAAGCCGATCTCACCGTGGGAACTGTAGGCTGATTCGTCCAGCTTGTGGAATGTCCCACGGTTCTGAATACCCTCTAGGTCTCAGCAGAATATTCCACGTAGGTTGGGGATCCATGTTAAATCTTAAAGAAGCGGATGGGTGTTTTGGGTTTTCTTTATTTATTTTACTGGGAGTTAACTGGTAACCCTGCATATCTCCAAGAGTCAGATGAAATCAGAATGTAGATTAAAAAGTAGCCAGGTGAATCTGCAGACAATTTAATGCCTTTTGATTGGCCAGGGACATGTTTTGTCTGCCAGGAAGAGCTGTTGACCATTGTTACTTGTTACATAACATGTTTAAGCTTTCATATTCTGCAGCTACTACTTTTCTTTAATAACCTCAGCTGGACCTAACGTGGGTAACTTTTCTCTTTTTGCCACAGAACAAGACAACAAACAGGCAGCTGCTGAATCAGTCACAGATAGCGATGATTGTGTGGTTCCAAGTTCAGCATCCACAAGTCTTAATCAGGTTAGTCAAAACAAAAAGAAGTCCTCCCTCTCAGAGTTCTCAAAGCAGTCCTACCATATCCTTAGCAATGTGGTTCTGTTTGAAGAAGTCTGTGTTAACTTCAATGGTCTTCTGAATCCTTCTTTGAAACAGAACTCTGTTATTGAGGATTTCTGAGGTTGATGTTTGGAAGTTTGGATCTGGGGTCACAGAACCCATCAGTCTAGACCAGCGTTCCTCAACCTTAACAAATTTAAAATGTGTGGACTTCAACTCCCAGAATTCCCCAGCCAGCATGCTGGCTGGAGAATTCTGGGAG